GATATTACTGAGTAGATGAGAATTCTAAAGAGAGACAAAGTTACTACTTTGCATGACAAACGAGGTAATAAAATTGATTTTATTCTGGATTCTCTCTGATTAAGTAAATGAAGATGTGTTTAAATGAAAATTTAACAAAAGCAATTTCTGTCTAAATGCACACAGTTCATTCTACAAATTACTAAATGTAGAAGAGAAACTTTAAATTATAAAAGCAATAGACGAGGACATTTTGAATTAGGTAAAAGTCTTGAAAGTGTATTGTGCACTCATCTTTATGTATTAGCATTATTCACTGTACCATGACCAGAAAATTAAATAATATTGTGTCTTTTCAGAAAAGAGACAAATTAAGACTGTTTTAAGGATGATAATCTATAAATGTAAGAAAAAACTTGAACAGAAATGTTCACATTAATATTGCTTGCCATGAAAGCTCATATTTAACTCATGAAAACAAGGATATCCATCTTCAGAGTTACCAATGCCTAAATATAAAATTTGAATTGGATGTATGAAAACTAATGATTCTTATGTCTTTGGAGTTTTCTTTATAATAATATATTATTTTCTGATAAAGCTAGTTCTCTCCTCAATAAGTGCTAATGAGATGGAGACACTGTTGCTAACTACATAGGAATTCTGAAGTAGGGTTGTCCTCCTTTTATTATTTTGTAGAAAGCCATATCTCAGTTGTTCTGATTTACTATCTGAGTTGATAATTCATTTTCTAACTAAAAGTGAGTTTAAGATTTGATACTCTGATTAACCAATGTAGAAATTCAAGCAAGAACCTTTCTTTGTTTTGCTTTGAAGAAAACATTGCTTTCAACGGGAAAGTGCAAAAATATAACAAAATAGAGGTGACTTGATATCATTAAATGACAAACAAACTTTATAGTTGCCAGATTCTTTTTTAAAAGGTGAAGTTTATTCCTTTAGAATTTTTCCTCCCTTAGTAATTGAAAGTTTTCTTTAATTTTTTGTTTTATTTTTAAATACAGTAATTTTGAATCAACACTGGTAAAATAAAGGTGAATTTTCATATATATTTTAAAATCTCAAAAAAGGAAGTGTCAGCCAAACAAAAACTCTTCAGAATTACGAGCAAAAACCCAGGCCTTTCAATTAAGATGTATTATTTTTTCTACATTTTATATAAATCCATCACTAATTTGAATCTAATTATTAGAAAAAGAGGGTTAGTTATAACTACATTTTGATGACCCGTATCTTCTGGACCTTTTGATCTTTTTCACCATAAGACATGTATATCATGTCATGTCCCATTATAACAAAAAAAAATTTATTTTTTTATCCTGAGAAATCTTTGAAACACCTGCTTAATTACTTGGCTTTTTAAGGGAACAGTAAGAGAAAGATGGGGTATTTACTTTTTATGCTACATAAGATTTTTCTTTTCCTTTATTTCACTTAGTGATATGTTAGATCTGGTTGTGAGCAATCATCTCTTTCCCTTGTTTAATGGATCACATTTTAATGGATTTTATGCCACTGTTGCATTTCATACTTATTATTACATTTACTAGGACCAGTGAATTAGCGTGGGTAAGAGACAATTCCAGAACTGTTTTGAAAAAAGGCTGATGTTCTTTAATGGGAGGCACCTTTGAGGTAGTGAGTCCATATATGAACTGAAAGGTTTGCCACTGGCAATAAAAATCTGGGACTCCTGATGAGGATCAGCTGTTAACAAGAGACATCGTCTTAGAGAACCCAACAAGTGTGCTTCCCTCTGCCAGAAGGAGTATGGGGTGTTTGGGAAGAATTCTATGAGAATTTGGGTCCAAGTAGGGAATTGCAAATCCAATTCACTCTGGACAAGTTCTTATTTATTTAGTCATTTATTTTTATTCCATAGAAATAGCTAACCCCTAGTGACATGGCAACCATAGTGAACATAGCAAATAGGTTCTAACCTCTAAATTTTAAGCTTGAGAGTTACTTGAAGGCAAGGACAGTACAGCCAGACTCATCTTTGTGGTAAAATTTCATGCATGTAGGAGACGCTCCATAGATATTTGTTAAACTGAACTAAATAAAGTTTACACTACCTTTGCTGAACATTATAAAGATTGGAAATTTGTTGAAAATGTTGATCATAAAAACCAAAAGTTAGATTACTTAAGGGCCTGGTGTCCTGATGGAAGAATACCGTCAATTTTACCCAGTATACTCCTCTACCTTTTGGAAACTTCATATGAAAAGAATTAAAATATTTTTTGATTGAACATGAAGTAATATGAATCTCTTCATAGAATTTGATCTTGCAAAATTTAAGGTGATCATACTAAATAAGTGATACATCTGCTTCTAACCTCTTTGCTATATAAATACATGGACACCAACTGTGAGTTTGTAATAATTTTTGATACTTAAAGTACTAATTCCTTTTAAACTAGTAAAAAAATTTTTAGCTAAAGCTATAGGAAAGAATCATCATCATTCATTTCAAAAATACTTTCCAAAGTACTTAATTTCCAGTTAAGGAAAAGCCATAGCTCATACTCTCTGTGAGTGTAAATGCTCCCATTTATGTGATAGGACCCAAAATATTAAAGTATAATTTTTGCACCCTTTCCCTTCAGCCTCTTCTTTGGAGATTTATAAGATCTTTTTAGATTTGCTGTGCTACCTTTCTTACACTGATAGGGATAAGGGATGGGGTGATAGAAGCTGAGAAAGGAAAAAAGAGAATGGGGGAATTAGAGAAGAACAGAGAGGGCTAAGAAAAAAAGTTTTAAACAACTTAATAAAGGAATAGAAAAAAGTGACCTAGTACTGTTGATAATTTTGAGATGAGAGATTTAAATAACTGCCTTGCAGTGCAGAAATTTGTTAGGGAAGGATATCAAAACAGATTTTTAGGAAATGTGATTGGGAGATACGTAACATAATCTATTCATTTCTTCAGAAGACCTTTTATAAAGACTTCGTATTTTGAGAATTGGATTTGGATTTCTTTTTCATTCATGGGCAAAGATAGGCCTTAAAGCTGTGCCTGGAAGGTTATTTTATTCCGGTTATTGTTGCATAGGTTTTAAAGAATAATGCAGAGTGAAATAATTTTTCTTTTTTGATTGTGGCATGCATAATTTACCAATAGTTATTTCTTTTTCATTCATGGGCAAAGATAGGCCTTAAAGCTGTGCCTGGAAGGTTATTTTATTCAGGTTATTGTTGCATAGGTTTTAAAGAATAATGCAGACTGAAATAATTTTTCTTTTTTGATTGTGGCATGCATAATTTACCAATAGTTATAACATAACTCAGTGCAAAAGTACTATAATTCTTGATTCTGGTTAAACCAAGAGTTTTGCAATTTCTGATTGCTCTTTTATTTTAGTGATTTAAATACCTCATTTCTCTCCTTGATTGTACACTGTTTTTACATTTTTTTTCAAATATGCCTTATACTATGAGATAATGAGTTGACTATAGACTGGAAATCAACCATCCAGAAAATATGATAAAAATGGTTTCTTTAACTGTCTGATTTTTAAAATCCCCAGAACTCCCTCAATAGTGTACATTAAATAAAGTTTATGAATGTATATGCATATTTTAGTTAAGAAAGATTATTCCTGAAGACTTGTGATTTATGGAAGTTACTAATTTTCTTTCTATAATTAAGTTTTATACTTATTCATAGTAAACAGGTTTAATTACTGAATATGTGCACCAGTAAATCTCAAAATGTTTTATTGAAAAATTTCAAATAAATTTGGCATTTTAACTGTTAATCGCCTTGGATATTATAATACCCCCTGGGATCATGGAGTTTATATCGGTAGGCAGTAAAGAAATAAATATCCATATCTGTATATTTTAATGTTTCTGATTAATCTTGCACACATATTTCAACCTTGCTCTGACCATAATTAGGTTCAAAATTACTCTTAAGATTATCATGCTTACAGTTCTGAAAAATAGAAATGTAACATATTTCAACCTTGCTCTGACCATAATTAGGTTCAAAATTACTCTTAAGATTATCATGCTTAAATAGAAATGTAATTTAAAAAAATTTTGGAGAGGATATGGCTGAGAGACAAAGTGAAAAGGTAGTTTTATAATACTATGAAAAGATGTTAGGGAAGAGAAAAAAGAAGTACGAATTAACCAGATAGAGAATAGGATCGTCAGACATTATTTAAAAAAATTGTTAACAGAAAACTTTAATCTTGCAATCACTGAATGCCCATCCCACAGAAGTTTAAATCCTTTAATAGAATTTATTTCATTGAGGTGTTACAGATGTTGCCGACAGAGTCCTATGAAGGACCATACTCTTATATTCCTTATTTTTCTAAATACTTTTTTGTTGTATTATAAAAATAAATATATATGATTAACAAATTTAATCTGTTTTACATATGTTCTTATTTAATATATATTTGAAGACAGGTAAATATGGAAATTTTATATTTCCTTTAAATATATCCAGATTTGTGTAAATGTATCAGGCAAACTGCAGGTAGTTTATGGCTTTGCAGATTGAGGGCTGAAAAATGTTGCTATTTCTGACACACTTACTTAAAAACGTGATGTATTTCTCACTTTTTCTTTTTTTAGTATACTGTAAGGAATACTCTAAAAACTCTTCCTTCTAGCACAATGTATATTTTTTCATAATAACAAAAATTAAGCTGTAATAGGCAAAAACCAGGGGATAAAGCAGCAAAAGAAAATACATGGAAGGGTCTAGTATAATCGGACAATCAACAAAATCTTAAAATAAGGAAAAAAGAAAAAGTGAGGCTCTTTTAATAGAAAGAACATTATTATCACCAAAAATGTAATTTAGGTAGGAATTTGAGAATGGAGGTAGGGCACCTTTATCTCTGGGATCAGCTAAAAAACAGTTTGTTAAATCAGCATCTTTAAACAATCTGCTCTGGTTTTTTCTTCTCTCAATACATTCTCCTTACTTTTCCACAGAACAGCAGTCATTTTCGTAGTTTCACATGGAGTAGCTGTGATTTTTAAATTCATTTTTTATTGAATTTGTTCATAATATAGCACTATTTTGATAAGCCAGCTCAGCTTAGTTTACTGAAAAATACATTTAGCTTGTTTTTTTGCAGCCTCTGAGAAGATTATGACAACAACACACCTTAGTTGTGTTCACATTTTTGTGTAACTGTATTATGGACTCAGGTTGATACACTATATATATACAATGCACATATATTGTAAGATCTGTCTATATCCTCTTTGGAGTATTCATACTTACTTCTTAGAAGCTTTGGAAAACAGCTCAGCATGTTTTTGCAAATAAAACATAAGAATTCTTAAACTTGTAAAATATATCAATATCAGACAGTCAGCTAGATGTATTTATTTTCTTGGGCCACCATATAGGTATCATAACACTTTGTTTAAATTAAATTAATTAATCATTTTACATTAAACCTAAGGCTATAATCTTAGCTATTTCATTCAAAGAAATTCTACTGAGAACAAGTAACTTTTTTAGTGCCTTGATAATTACTTTTGCAAACTTGTGAAGATGAACCAAAGTAATAGTCATGGGTTTATCCCATGCTTCACTCTATGAAATCCATTAGAGCAATACTACTCTCCAGGGGTGATCATCATAAGGTAGTAGAGAAATATTTTATGTCAGTTTAATATTATGGGGGAAAACCATCTAAATTACGACCTACAATGAGATATGTAGGGCACTATAAAGTTAATTTAAAAAAATAGACAAATTCAGCCATAGAAGATTTAAAAGCGCAGTATTTTTCTCCCTCTCCCCCCTGATGACCACCTTCTCACCACAGTCGCTACATGGAATCATTGGTCATTTCTGCAAATAATTCTAACCACATCAGACACCAGCAATTAAACTATTAAAAATAAAGTAACAATACAACCCATATAGTTGAATATAATTATCTAAAAAATAAATATGTCAATTTGGAAGCTACTTGATTACAAAACATGAAAGAAAAGTCAACTATTTCTTTCTAATCCACCATCAAGCTCTAAATACATCATTAAGGAAGTCGCATGTGGACAAATTCCTTCAGGTTGTCAGTGACCACTTCCCAGATGCTGCTGTACAAAGTTACACATCCATGCCGAGTTATTTACCATTGTGTAGTGATAATCTGCAGTGGGCCAGGGATTTATTTGCAGGCTATTTAGAGAGGACTTATGTGGCATGATTTTAAAAGCCAGGTTGGAAGCATAAACATAAGGTGTGTGCCCATAGTCTGAACAGAAGACTGCAGATTGTGAAATGATGTTTGGAGAATCAGAAGAGAGGGTAGTAGAGAGAGTATCTTTCATTTTAGAAATGCTGAGGCACAAAAGACAGGTGCTTGTGGTACTTTCATACATGAAATCCTTTCTCCTGTATGTGCATCATGTGTAAACGTAAAGTCTGTATACTGCTGACTATTCGTCTCTGGTGTCCAATGAGTATGACTCCAATCCTTCTGATATCACTGAGACAGAGAGAGAGGGAGAGAATATAAACATTTAGATCTGCTAAGTACTAGAGAAAATGAACATTTAGATCTATTAAATACACACCATGTCACATTTGCCAAAAATTGCATAGCTTAGTTGTTTAGCAGAGATATAAATAAACAAGAGTTTGTTACTTTTTTCTTCTCTCTGGCTCCATAGAACACATCAAGTAAATCTGAAGTTTAACAATACAAGGGAAAATTTCATAACCAGGTACCAATGCAATGTTCAGATATTCCTAGGCCTAAAGCCTATATAACTTAGGTAGTTATATAAATTTGCAACAGTATTAGCAAAATGGTGAGTATGTGGGGTAGAAGGTATAATGTGGATTCCATTTGATTTCTCGTAGTTTTTTAATAATCTGAAAAAATGTCATTATGTTGAACCATATAAAATTGCCATTCCTGTCTTAAAACAACAGCAATTTAATATGGTTCAACCTAATTGTTTTAGTATCTAGTCTTCTAAGCACATGTTGAGTATTTTTCTTGCACTTGGGCGAAGGATAATCTTTCAGACAATAGAAGATGGTTGACCATTATAGTATACAAGAGGAGCTTTGCAATGACAATGATATTTCATTAATTTGATGAAGGTAATAGGGATTGGTTATACAATATTAGTGTATGGGAGTAGAAAATAACATGTCAAGGTAAAACTATGTTGATGTAAAGTCTGTGATGTAAGCAAGAGTATTGCATTTAAAACATTTTAAGTAGCTATTTGAATTAAATATATTCTTTCAAAGAATAATAGTTTAAAGTGTAATGTCTGACTTCCTCCAGAACAATAGTCAGAAGTGGTGAGGTAAGACTTGGAAATAACATACTAGCCTAAGGAAAGGTGTTCTTGATATAGCATTTGAATCTATAATCCTCTGAGAACAGCATCGAATTATAGTAATAACCTTAGTACCACTTACTCGATGCTCATTCTTGAAATCAGGTCAAAAGTTGTAAACCCTGCTGCCATGAAGTTATTCTTATATTGCCCCATCTTTATAGAATCCAGCCAGTCACCGACTGTGACAAACAAAGGATATTCGGGAACTTCACCAGGGGACTCTGGCATTCTGTAAAGAATAAAAATCATAGAGATGATTTAAAAGCCAGATAAAGGAAGAATTACACAATTTTCTTTCACCTTTTACAATATTCTTACATCTACTGTCTTTATCCTCCATTAAAAAAAATCTCTGATGTTCCATCTTATTCAAATCAGTCACTTTAAAAAATGTTTATTTATCAAATCAGCCACTTTTATCTGGTGAAACACTTGTCGGTTTGTCTTGTCTTCTTCTTGCCACTACTAGGTCTTATGCTTGATAGATCGTGAGAAAACTCACATCATGCTTTCATCTTTTTTTACTTTTTTCTCTTGCATAAAATTATATTTTGAAACTTGAGGGACAGCCCACCCCTTATCCCCACAAAGAGAGTAAATCGTGACAGGCTGTTCCTGCCACTGTTCCTGCCACTGTTCTTACCCTTCAGACCTGCCACTGAATCCATGTCCTTTTACCTTTTCCACATTTTTATGGTGAATTCATTATCAAGCCTCCATTTATTCTTAAATATTCAACAAGAATTTATTATTCATTATAAAGTAATTTCTACTGTCATAATGTTCAGCTGCATGAATAAGATTTACATGAATCCAAGTAATAGGGTAATGTTGTGCAAAACTCAGATATTAATAAGGCGCAAAACAAAGCAAAACCAATGTAAATTTGGAACAAGAAAAAGAACAAAAACAAGAAAAAGAAATCCAGCCTTGATGGTTCTTAAAGGCAATGATACAGCAATCTTTATTTCTGTTTCTAAGATCTGATGAAAAAAGCATTCCAGCTGGGGATATTTTTGTTGTTTTAATATAAAAATAATATAAAAAGTATTATTTTGGAAAAGCTAGGGTAAATATGTGGATGTATACATACCTACATACATATGTACATACTGTGTACTGTATATGATAGCGAAAGTCAGACAGGGACTAAATATGAAATTAATCTTAGAAAGTATAGGGACAATAACTCAGAATTGTGTATTTAAGACATTCTGTCAATAAATTGTATTATTGCCCTCACAGAAATGCAAAAAATTAATGTTAAAATATTTTGCATGTTTTAAAAGCTAATTGGTGGTAAAAGTGCTTTTATAGTAATAGATGTGTAACTGGCCCTCTAGGGTAGTAAATACATCATTTTACAAATTCTTAGATCTAGAGTTTCTACTAACTAGTAAAGCAGTAACAATCTTTTTTTTTTTTTTTTTTTTCCCTTTTTTGGTTTTTTTTCGTGTCCGGCAACGGATCGCAACCCTCAATGTCGTGCCCGTACCGGACCGGGACCGGCAACGGGATCGCAACCCTCAGTGTCGCGCCCATGCCAGACCGGGACCGGCAACGGGATCGCAGCCCTCAGCGTTGCTCCCACACCTCGCT